TTCCAGATCGAATCTTGTCGCCTGCTTCTTTCGAGAGTTTTGCCTTCAGTCGAAAAAAGACTCGATATCTGCAGTCTCAGACGAAATGTATAAGGCTGACTGAGAAATCAGATGAATAGAAAAAGCTTCTCTAAAAAAATCAGACGAAATTAAACAGCATGTCTACGACAGGGCTGACGCTATCAGACTAAATAGTATGATTATTCTGACCAATCAAAGCATTGAGGTTGTGGAAAATGGATTTGCAAAGTAATCAATATCTCATCCATGAGGGCCTCAGTGTTATTGTTTGTAGGCCCCTGATATAGTGTAATAGTTCTCAGACTTAGTCGTTTCTGGACCCTGGCTCTACAGAGTATACAGTATGTGGTCCCTGTATGCCGGTGTATTGAGAGGAAGCTTCCCCGAAATGTCCGAAAGTACCCCCCCCCCCCCCCCCCCCCCCCCTTGTAAAAATGTTCCGCGCGTAATCATTTCACCACCCCCCGTGGTTGTCTTCTTGTTCGCGTGGCCTTGAAACCATGTAATGTTGACAAAATCTGTTGGTGCGCTGTGCACAGCAAGGCAGCTAGGTGCGGCGTGCTGCGGCCAGTATGCCAAGTTTGATGATGACTCTGCAGCCACGCGAACCAGGCCACCCTCACTTTATGTGATGGGTCGATCGCGATTGGTGGCATGGCTCACCAGCTATGTGTGGTGGCATTGTGGCAGATGAATTTGGCCCCGTCTTCAAGGCCCGATTCATTCATCAAACCCCACCCCACTCCGTGAGCCATTGTCGTGGCGACGCGGCTTTCGTTCCGTCTGCTGAAGCTGGTTCTTTCCAGGCTGAAGGGCCTCCCCCAGTTTCACATGTTGCTTTCATTCTCGTGCTTTCAGCTTCTTGATTCATCGTTCTCTCTCGCCATCGCGTCCTTATCTCCTGCGGAGGACTCGCCTGAGGCCGTCCCGGAAAAGCCTCCCGATCGTAGGGTTAGCGGCCTAGACTTCCTTCGATCAAGCGTAGCTCCAGTCACTCCATAACCTTTAGTTACCGCTGCTGTTGTTAATACAGTGGAGTTACCATTGTCCAGCAAGAATCCGCAACCGACCCCCAATCCCGCGCCTGCTCCAGCGCCGTTCACTCTCCCTCCCGCCATCGCGTCGTCTAGCAAGGGGCCGCAACCTCCTCCCAATCCCGCGCCACCACCAGCACCGTTCACTCTCCCTCCCGCCATCCCGTCGTTTAGTAAAGCGCCTCCTTCTGCTGTTGGTAGCAGCGGCTGCAACGATGCCGCTCCCGCGTCCGAGGGTCGCACAACTAAGAAGGCGCGCACTGTCGTACTCCGCGGGAAGTTTCAGCAGAGCACGTTGACCTTCGACGGTGTGCGTGTGGCACCACCAAGCGCTCCAGAAGACTCCGAGCCCGAACCAGAGGAACCAGAGGAGATACCTGTACGTGCGGACACCAACTCTCTCGTCCTGTCCAAGGCTGAGGTAATGGAGCAGAAGTACATAGAGGCGAGTGTTAAGTATAAAACCCAGTGGTTGCCCAAATTCCCGTGGCTGCTTTTGGTTCGCGCTAAAGACGGTGGTCCCAGTGTGAAGTGCAGCCGGTGTCTCTCGCTCGGTAAGGAGACAACCAAGTACTCAGGTCCAGGCGACGGCGGGCGAGACCTGCAGACGCAGACGATGCGCATCCACGAGCACACGATGGTCCACAAGGAGGCGATGCAGCGTCAGGCAGAGATTGCGGAGGCGATTTTGAATGGCCAGACGAAAATTGATCGTTTCATCAACGCGGACCTTGAGGGTAGGCGGGCGATTCGGCTGATGAGGTCGGTGCAGTTTCTCTGCCAGGAGGACGCGCCCATCAGCATGTTCCCGAAGCTCATGAGGCATCTCGCTGAACTGGACACCCCCGACATACCGAAGCAGGCCTACGGGGTGTACCTCACGAGGTGCATTTGTATGGTTTCTAATTTAGGTAACGTTTGGTTACTGTCTTTCAAAGATAACGTCTCGTTTCTTCGTAACCATTGCAGATACGGTTTCCAACAGATGGTGCACTGCCTGAGCACCTGGTTGACTCAGACACAGATGGAGCACATCGCCTCATTGCCCTTCCTCGGCTTGAGCACAGACGAGAGCACCGACCGGACCCGCGGGAAGCACATGATTGTGTACATCACGTTCTTGCGCAATCGTCGAGTCGTTACTGAGTATCTCACCCTTCTTACTGTCGAGCGGTGTGATGCAGCTTCTCTCTTGTTGGTGCTCCTCAACCACCTGCACACCGCCAACATTGACATCAACCGAGTGGTGGGCATCAGCACGGACAATGCGTCTGTAATGATTGGATGCGACAACGGCCTCGTCACAAGACTGCAGGAGCATGTGCCGCATCTCGTGTCAACAAACTGCATCACCCACAGGTGATATAATCTTTTACCGCACCTTCATCTTGCTTTATGTACCGCGCCTCACGAAGACCACGACGGATACTAATCATTGGCTAGTTGGATGTACAGGGAGGCATTGGCGGTGAAGGACGCGGCCACGGCTAATCCCGACCTCGCGATGGTGGACACCGTGATGCGCACTCTTGCTGAACGCCTTGGCGCCTCATGCCACTGGAGCCAGCGCTTCAAGTACCTTCAGCGCGTCATATACAACACAAACCTCGAGGTCCAGGGCATACACAGCGTGCGCTGGCTCTCCCGGGGCGACGCGGTGAAGCGTCTGTGCAAGGTGCTGGGCGCGGCGATTGTGCTCTTCCACGAGAAGGAGCACGACTTGTACGAGACGGTGACATCGTACAAGTTTGAGTTCTGCCTCTTCTTCCTCGCTGACATCCTCGGCGACCTGAATGATCTCAACCGTTCGTTTCAGAAGCGGCAGGTGAGTTAGCGCTGTGTGGGTGGCTATGTTTGTTGTTTCATCGTGTCCTAATTCACTAGTTGTTGTGGACAGGTCGACGTTACTGAGGTGTCAAAGACCGTGGAGTCCATCACTGGCGACCTCGAGCACAGATACCTGGACAAGAAGGCGGACTTCGGTGGTTCCGGCAACGGATGGCTGCCGAAATTCCTGGCGCTGTATGGCAAGAAGTCGGGTCAGACGGTCCGAGTGCGTGGCTCGGATTCGGAGGGCCGCCCTGTGAACCACTCGTACATCCTGCACGAGAGGAAGCTCAAGGACCATAAGTACAAGAGCGGCTACAAGGCGTGCGTGAAGCTGTGTCGCAAGTTCGCGACGGACGTCTTCGATCGTCTCCTGTTTCGCCTGGACGACCTGCGGGGGATGGGTCCAACGAAGCTGTTTCGCGCGTCTTAGTGGCCCAAGAGCAAGCACGCACGAGACCGCAAGTGCCAGGACTGGCTGACTGGCTGCGCCGCTCTGTTCAAGAACAAGCTGCCGGGGTTTGATCACAAGAAAGCGTCGCAGGAGCTGGCAACCCGGTGCCCAATCATGGAGTCTCACCACAAGGACGAGTCATTCGCGCAGGGACTGGCGAACTTAATGGGGAGCGGCGATGCCAAGAGGTAAGTCCACCTAGTCTGCGTGTGCCACATGCATGTCTCAAATCTAACGCTTCGGGAAAACTGATGCTCCTTGTTTTGTGCAGGCGCTGGCCCAACCTGTTGCTGATGTGGCAGGCGTTGGCATTCCTGCCACTCTCCACTGTGGAGTGCGAGCGGAGGTTCTCGCGTCAGAACGTGATCAAGTCGTGGATCCGTGGGTCTCTCTGCAACGCGCGGCTCGCGGAGCTGATGCAGATCTCGCTGCTGCAGTACGAGATGGACTGGCCTGGGGTGCTCGACACCTGGAAGAGCCTCAAGAAGAGGCGCCCTGCGCAGAGCGTTCTGTTCCCATCTGACGATCGCAAGCGAAAGGAGAAGGAACCGGAGGAGGAAGAGGAGGAACCCAGGGAGCCGGCGGGCGAGGAGGAGCTCGCGGAGTCAGACGATGATCGTGACGACAACCTGGAGATGGATCAGAAGATGGAGCAGTCACCGCCCCGAGATTACTCAGAGGAAGATGTTAACCCGTTCCTCTCGGATGGCGAGGAGGGGGAGGAGATGTATGACATAGATCAGCCGACAGAGTAGGATTCTTGGTGCTGTCTTGTGTGAACCCAAAACCCGGCCGGGCATTGTTGACAGTGCTTGTGTAATAAATAAAAAATGATAGAAACAGCACTATGATCATAGTTCGCCAACCCTGTGACCACAGGGAAAGGGTTTCCTGGAGACTGAGCCATCAGAGTGGCCAAAATCTGGCCGAAGTGCCCTCAGAGTGATTTTTTTTTTTTTTTTTTTGCACCATCAGTGTACCCAAATGTGAAACGTCAGCCCTGGTCTACATGGCTTCGACGTGAAGCCGTTTTATCTGTTTTTCTTTACTGTCAAAAGGAAAAATAGGGCCAGAACGTAAATGTCGGACATTCAACAACAGGATCGTGATCTCATGGCAGCTCGAACGCGAGACGACTAGAGGAGTGCTTATCTCCAGAACACCCCCCATGATGAACCTACTAATATAGCAAGAGCGAGTCGATTCTGCATTTTTGTCAGCACACAAACAAGATAGAGGAACTAATGATGTTTTCCTGTATCGACCCTGAGGCAGTGGTCGCCAGTTCGTGAGAACAAAGGCAGTAACAGCAGTGACATGCTAACATTACGCGTAGTACCTGGAAAGCTGGAAAGGCCTGACACTAAGCTCCGCCAAACAGCTCATAGTCGCGACCAAGAGCCTGAGTCATGCAGCTATCATTTGCTGCAATGCCATTCCGACCTGACAAGACCTCTCTGCTCGAGAAAGTTGACATAATATTTATGTTATTTAAAAAATACTTCTCAGAAACATAGTACAGAAGCCGAATACAGGTCATACAACGTTATCACTCTGTAAGTTGAAACCCACAGTTGAAGAAAACTAGTCAGTCCATTATTCCTAAAAGCATGTGCGGCATGAAAAACTTTGTACCAAGCCACAAACCAGAAACTAACTTCGGACTAAGCTTCTGAGGCCTCGCCCTTGTCAGCCGATGATTTCTTCGGGAGTAGGACGGACTGAATGTTTGGTAAAACACCACCAGCAGCAATGGTAACCGCTCCCAATAGCTTGCTGAGCTCCTCGTCGTTTCTCACGGCCAGCTGAATGTGTCTCGGAACGATGCGAGTCTTCTTGTTGTCTCTGGCTGCGTTCCCGGCAAGCTCCAAAACCTGAAAGAAAGTGGGCCAAAAGGTTAAGTACTATAATCTCTCAAGCGCCATGAGGGAAGACGCAAAATTCACTGATGACGGCATACGCACCTCAGCAGCTAGGTATTCGAGGACTGCAGCAAGGTACACTGGAGCACCGGCACCAACCCGAGTGGCATACTTTCCAGCCTTGAGGAAACGGGCTATACGACCCACAGGAAATTGAAGACCTGCCTTTGCTGACCTGCTCACTGCCTTCTTTCCAGCAGCCTTTCCTCGGCCTGACATGGTTCTAGGAGATGAAAGTCGTGAAGCGAAAAGTATCGGCAGAAAGCTACTAGCTCAAGAGAGATAGGTACACAATGTCTTGGAAAGCCGAATATGGACTGTGCTGTGACAGAAACTTCTGATCAACAGCAATGGAGGAGCGAACTTTATGTACAACGCTATGGGGCGAGGAGGAGAGGATGACCCAAACACACAAAGCTATCAACCAATCGCGTCAATATTTACGGATTGACAAACGCTCCGTCGGATTACGATGGCTTCGAGACAATCGACGGTAGCACGAGATCCACGCTGCTGCCACTGGTCGGAAACCATTTTGCGAAAAATATGATTTCGAACATGCAAATCAACCGTTACGATACAGCTTATCAAACTACAAGCTTCAGCAGCCTAAACAAAGTTGTACTGTCATAGTCAAACCTTCGTATTGAAGATTACATTTACAGGCCTGCTTTCTGATAGCTTTATTTGTCACAGAAACTGGCTGGACACTGCTCAATTTGGTCTGCGGTGCAATTTGCAGTTGGACATGTGAAAGCCTATGCACTGTACATCAATATGCTGGTGCGTCACTTGTTTTGTCCAAGCAACAATTAGCATCACTGACCATGCATGGTAAAGCTCGATTCATAGCTCTAGCCTTGTTTTCCAATCCACCTTGTGGTTATTTAGATCGTTGAAAGAGCTTGTGGCCTGGGGATACCTACAACACATTCCCTCGCCTCATGGCATCACAGCCTGATATTCACCGACTCCTTCACTGTACAGTCATGCATTCAACGTATTACAGCATTTGGAAGGTCAAAGAGCACCAAATACCGGAAGTGTCAACATGGTCCTTGTCTCGAGCCCCTACCGTACTCGAGCATGTACGCATTTGGAAAGAGAGGCCCGTGTTGCTACCAGGAACCACTGTACTTATCAGGCACTGCATTCTGAAAATGGGCGTAGTTCCACTCTATGTTCAGCGCAAATGGCTTCGATATTGTCACTCCCTCTGCTGTTACTTTTGAAATCTGCATGGACAGACAGCATTCAACAGAAGCGGTGCAACGTTAAAACCAAGCAAAAAAAATTAAAGGAAGGACAAAAAGAGTACAGAGAATAATCACAAGGCTCCACACATACATACTAGGAATATACTGCAAACTGAAACAAGTTCACCAACCTGGAATCTGTTGAGTGCGCTGCTGTCGCACGCATACAGCACTAGTAGCCCCTTCAACAGCAGCTTCACTGCCCCCCCCTCACTCACATCAATGCAATCACTTTAATTGTTCTCAAAAGCGATTCTGTCTACATTACAACATTTAACCATTCCACCAACCTGGAATTTGTTAAGCGCGCTGCTGTCGCGGGCGTACAGCACCCTCAGCCCCTTCTCCAGCAGCTTGACTGCCTCCTCCTCACTCATGTCGTTGCGGTGCTCGTTGCGGAAGAGCGGGCGCACCATGTGGCTGCCAAAGCCCGTTGCTATGTGGTCGTCCGTGAAGTGAACGCCAATCATTGTCACCTGGAAGAGGGAAATGCGTGCACGGGAGGGCAAGGGAGGTGGTGGAGGGGAGGATGGGGGAGGAGGGAATTGGGGAGAAGAACGAAGTTAGTGTGGATAAGGCAAATGAAAATTCACTGCCTCTCCAGCCGCTTGACTGCCTCCCCCTCACTCATGTCGTTGTGATGCTCGTTGCGGAACAGCGGTCGCACCAGGTGGCTGCCAAACCCCGTTGCTATGTGGTCGTCCGTGAAGTGAACGCCAATCATCGTCAACTGCACTGCACTACCGGGCATCATAGGGGTTGGGAGGTGCGGAGGCCAGGACTGGAGAGAAGAAAGGGGTAGGCGTGGAAAAGGCGGACAGTTTCCCAGCATGTGAAGTGGGCGTGTAGTGCATTTTGATCACTATCACCTGGACCATGCATGAATGGGTTGGGTGGGGGGTGGTGGAAGGGAAGGGGGGATGGGGAGGGTGGGCTTGTACGGGGCTGGGGAGGAAAACGGAGAGGTGAGGCCAAGCTTTGAAATGTGGACACTGGACCGAGCAGCAAGGGTACAGGTACTGATACAGGAGCACTGCTAGACAGCACATTAAGCACGTGTATTCAATCCATCGCACCGGTCTGACCGAACTGAGGAAGGACTCACCCTTGTCGGGCCCGCCAATGACAATGGATTCCAGAGCAGTTCAAAGCGGTTGCATCTCACTGAACAATGGATTCCAGAGCAGTTCAAAGCGGTTGCATCTCATTGAACAATGGATTCCAGAGCAGTTCAAAGCGGTTGCATCTCATTGAACAATGGATTCCAGAGCAGTTCAAAGCGGTTGCATCTCATTGAACAATGGATTCCAGAGCAGTTCAAAGCGGTTGCATCTCATTGAACAATGGATTCCAGAGCAGTTCAAAGCGGTTGCATCTCATTGCACAATGGATTCCAGAGCAGTTCAAAGCGGTTGCATCTCATCGAACAAAGGATTCCAGGCGCTGTGGAAGGAAGTCCATTGTTGAGGCACCACATAGCGAATCTCACCAAGCCGAGATGGGTCCGCCCTTGTCGAGCCCCCCGATGACGATGGAGATCCAGAGCAGGTCGAAGCGGTTTCACTGCATTGTTGAGGTGCCCAACACACAGATTCTATTTCCAGGCACCAAGTACAGGGATTCAGATGCCCCACGAACGAATCTCACCGAGCCGAGGAAGGGTTCGCCCTTGTCGAGCCCCCCGATGACGATGGAGTTCCAAAGCGGGTCAAAGCGGTTGCGGCGGTTGTACATGACACGCGTCATGTAGTTGAACACCTCTCGTGTGGACAGCACGTGCCCGTCATCAAATGCGTAGTCGTTTGTGCTGTGCAGTTGAAATGGAAGGGGGGGAAAAGAGGAAGGAACATGTATACAAGGTGGGTTGCGGCGGTTGTACATGACACGCGTCATGTAGTTGAAGACCTCTCGTGTGGACAGCACGTGCCCATCGTCAAATGCGTAGTAATTCGTGCTGTGCAGAGTGGCCAGGGGTTTCGATGGGCGAGGGGGGTATGGGAAAGGGGGTATCTCTAGATTCGGGTTGCGGGGAATGGGGAAAAGAAAACGTTTTTCCATGGATGGAGGGTGCAGCCGTTGGAAAGGAGGGAGGGCGAAGGAGAATTGGGGGGGGAGACAAGACGGGGGTTGCAAATGGATCGACCGGAATATATATAATACATGTACGTATATACTGCACAAAGGGATTACTTACAGGAGCTCCTCGTAGAGCGAGAGGATGAAGTGGAAGTCGCTGATCTCCCCGCCAGCGCCCATCACCGTGTGCGGCGCCACCTGCTGCATGCGCTCCACCGACTTGTACCGCATTGTACGCCCGTATGCTCCTGAACGAGGTGGGGTCGAAGCGGTGCACATATGGAGGCAGAAACAGCGAGGGGGAAACTGGAAGCAAGGAGCGGAATTTAGTGCGGGCAGAGGCGCCCCCTGCTGCATGTGCTGCACCGACTTGTGCGCATGGGGAGGCAGAAAAAGCGAGGGGGAAACGGAAAGAATGCAGCAGGGTTCAGTGCGGGTGCAGCCGCCACTTGCTGCATGCGCTGCAGCAACTCATGCCTCATGGTGTGCCCGTATGCTATGCTCCTGCATGGGGTGGGGGTGAGTGATGCATGTAGGGAGGCAGACACGGAAAGGAGGGAGTGGTGCGTACGGGGTTCAGTGAGGGGGAAAAGACACCTGCTGCTTCTTAGGCGCCTCAATAATTCTTGTGGCGCCTCAAGACCTCTGCTGAATTCGGTGAGGGCGGAAACATACCTGGTTACAACACACCCATGCTAATTTCGGCTGAGGCGTCTGCTGACTCATCCGTGACATCTTCTGACTCACCCTTGGCGCCTGCTGACTCACCCATGACATCTGCTGACACCCATTGCTGACTCACCCATGGTGTCCGCCGCCATGATGATGCCGTCCTTGTACTTCATCGCCAGCACCGAAGCGCCCGTCACGTACGGGTACCTGCGCGCGAGGCGCGTGCGCGCACATGCATGGGACACGGGAAAGGTACATGTAAGCGATGGGTTGCGAAAGATGACTTGAAGGGATGACTTGGGAGGGAGCAAAAGCACGGTTTCGAAACGAGGAAAAAAAACCCGAAGCGGAGAGGTATTTCGGGATATTCCAGGATCATCTGACGTGAATTATCAGTGAACAAATTGTGAATCTATACAAAATCACGAGTTTCGTGAGAGCTCGTGCCGACACAAGGCGACTCAGATGTTGTACGGAACGGTGACTATAAGAGTAATAAGCCGTGAATGAATGAAAATCTCACATACAAAAAACATCCGTCCCTGCGAAAAAATCCGTCCTCCCTGCGAAATCACTCACTGCGTGTGCTTGATCGGATCCAGTCCGCGATCCACGGGGACCATCGGGCCGCACATGACGCCAGTGCGCTCACTGCCAGAAACCACCTTCTCGTCCTCTCTGACCTTCCCGTGGCTGCACGTGGGACCGTGGAACACTTCCGGGAGTTGCGGCGGCCCCGGCGGGATGCCGAATCCGCGATAGTCGTGTCGAATCATGCTGCTTGGAGAGATTAAAGCCGTCGGAGCAACAACAGCAGAGAATCGACGCTGAGATAGAGATTAAAGTCCTGATTGAAATCGGCGTTACGACTACTACTCGAGTGCACTCTGACTGGGATTTGACTCGTGTGTGAGAAGGGAGGTGACAGTTCAATGTTAGAAGGCCGATCCTCGATAGAATTTTGAATGAGCGTGAACAGTGAATGAACCGACATTTTTCGAAAACCTACAAGGGTAATCCACTGATACAGCAAGTTCTCTCCATATATTGATGTGAGCCAAAGCAGAACCAATCAAGTATTGATCAAGTTAGGCAATCACAATTCCACTGATCACTGTATGGAGATTGGTTTTACTCATATGCCTGATAAAACAAACTCCTTTGAACTGGTGTAATTCAGAAGAGAGAAACTCACACGGTCTTATATTGAGGAACATCATCTTTCCGAAGCGAATAATCATCCACCTAGCAGAGGCCGAGTACCTGGGCCAGAGTCAGTTCAGGCCAGCAGAGCTCAAACAAGATGTTTGCGTAAACGCAACGCTTTTCGAGACACATGACATAAGTTTCAGCGGACCTACACTAAACAACCTTGGGTTGAGATACAGCAATATCAGTGGAAGGAGACAGGTCTGTCTCCGAAGCTGTTTCTGAAGCAACCGGCGCCGAAGCTCGAAGCTCCAGATCCAGTTCTGGCGATTCCAGGGCAACAGGGCAGCAGTAGGTACTTCCTTGACTAGCATAATTATTTCTATCCCCTGCAGTACCATCCGGCTTCGTGTGTATCGAGCCGATAGGCTGCTCTGGGTCTTGAGGCGCTGAGCTGATCGAGTTTTGCACAGCAGAGTCGTTTCGTTCTGATGAGTCGTTGCGCTCTGCTGAGTTGACACGGCGGGCCAGGGAAGCAGAGGAGGAGGAGGCGGAGAGGGAAGATGAGGAATCAGAAGGAGGATGAGGAGGGGGGTGGCGCGGGGAGGAAGCGAGGGAGGACGGCAGGGATTGCAGGGAGGTGAAGCTGGTAGACGAAGTGATGCCTCGGTTGCTGTGAGCTGCCGGCCACAGGCACGCCTGCAACTCAGTAAACGCCTCCCTCAGTCGAGCCTGCCGCGCGGCCCGCTCCTCCGCCAGCACCACCTCCCTCCACGTGCTTCCCGGCCCAAACTTCTCCTCGCCTGCCCGCGCTGCCCGGTTTCCCCAGCCCCACAGGGACAACCACCACCCAGGCAGCCACCAGAGGTTTCTCCTGCCCCCCCTCTCTCCCTCTCCATCCCCATCCCCATCCCCCTCTCCCTCCTTGAAGTAAAGCTCGAGAACGCAGGAGGCGCGGGGATTGACGCTCTTCAAGTCGGAGACTAAGTGAAAGGCCGCTGAGTCCACCAGCAGGTGGCTGCACACCCCTCCGCTGCAGATGGCGCCAGTGCTGGGGGGTGTGCTTGTCGGCGGTGTGATCATGCCGGTTGGGGTGGACGGTGGGGTGGTGGGTGCGCTCCTGGGGGGTGATGTGCCTTCCTTGTAGCCTATGAGCTGGTGGGGGTGGTGGAGGGAGGGACGGCGGGGTGCAGGGAGGGACGGCGGGGTAGAGGGAGGGAGAGAGGAAGGATTCTAGAGTTGCCTGGAAAATCAATCCGTTGATAAGGATGGTGGAGGTAGAGGGGGTGGAAGACGGAGGGAGGGAGGAAAGGGATCAGTGCGAAGGTCAAGTAAGGGCGAACCTGTAAGCTGGTATGCAAAGTACAAAGAGTACAAGAAGTATAGAAAAATACGAGTGAGAAAATGGTGTGAGAAATGCCGGATTTGACTTGCATTGACTGGCGCTGACTCACGATCACTCCCGTTGACTCACATTGACTCCCGTTGTCTCCTGAGGTGGCCCTCCCATGTGGTTAGTCGAGTAGAGCGTAGCCACATCAACAAGGTCACAGTACGCCTACACACTGCTGGCAAACAGCTTGACGAGCATTGACTAGCATTGACTCACGTTGACTTGCACTAACCTGTGGCGGGCCGCCCATGTGGTTGGTGGAGTAGAGTTCCTCTGAGACGTCTCAAAATAAAGCCACATCAACGGGGTCACAGAGTGCCTCCACACTGCTGCATTGACTCACGCTGACTCGCATTGACTCGCATTGACTTGCACATAATGCCATTGATTCCCACTCACCTGTGGTGGTCCGCCCATATGGTTGGTGGAGTAGAGCGTAGCCACGTCCACGAGGTCACAGTACGCCTCCACACTGCTGGCAAACAGCTTGTGCGACCGCAGCTGCTCGTGCACGGGCACTCCCCTCTTTGTGAGAATGGCCCGCCTGGGATAGCAGGTAGGAAGTCCAGGGAAGGGGAATGCACCATGAAGAGAGAGGGGGTGGTGGGTTGGACAGAACGTGAATAGAGAGAGAAGAGGCGGAACAGCTTGTGCGACCGCAGCTGCTCATGCACGGGCACTCCCCTCTTTGTTAGAATGGCCCGCCTGGGATGACAGGAAGGAAGGTGAGGGGTGGGAAGATGGAGACGAGTTGTGCCGTCTAAGCTACTCCTGCACCTTCGCCCCATGTCTTACCACACCCTCCACCCCATGCCCCATGCCCCATGCCGTACCTCACACATACCCCATGCCCATCCCCATGCCCTACCCCATGCCGCACCCCTCCCACGACCCACCGCATGCCGCGCACAACAGCCAGGTGGGCATCACACATCACGCCCACCAGCTCGATACGGTACGGCAGCCGATGCTCCCCCCCTCCCCCCCCGCCCCCTCCTCTCCCAACACATCTCTCCTCCCCTGTGCCTCCTTCCCATGCCCTCCGCGCCCCCTTTTTCCTGCCCCTTCCCGCTGCTGGAGCAGCTCGAACGATCTAATCGGTCACCCGCAGCTCTCCCTCCCACGCCCAATCTGGTCCCTCCCCCCGATCCCAAGGCCCTCCGTGGACTGCTGTGCCTCTTGGGCCGGTGCTGCTGCTCCTCTTTTTGAGCCCACTCATATGGCTCAAAATTCTGCTCCTCTGTCTCTTTCACTGGCTTATCCCTCCTCCCCTCCACCTCCTCCCCTTTCTCGCTCCCAACCATCTCTCCATCCGCTCTCTCCTTCCGCTCCTCCACCACTCCCTCACTCCCATCCTCCTCCTCCACCTCCTCCCAATACCGCTCCACCACACTCCCATCCTCTTTCACTCGATACCCTGGCCCCATCCTAAACCGCCTCTCATGCACCCGTCTAGCCATGGCAATCGTCTGCTGCACAAACGGGGCCCACGACATGGTCCCGTCAAATATCACGTCCCGCCCCTCGTTCAGCGCGGTAACCAGCGTTGACTGCGCCGCCCGGGTTGACTCCTCGTGCACGAGCTGCGAAATCCGGGCGGCGTCGCTCAGCCGGTCGGCGGAGAGTGCTCGGAAGATTGCGTCCTTTTCTTTGAATGCGTCGGCTTCGACCACCACCGCATGTGGCGCCATGTGCGCCCAAAAGGTGCTGTGGGGGGGACGAAAGGGGAAGGATAGAAGGGGAGGGGCGGAAGGAGGATTGAAGAAGCACAAAAGAGCGCTCTGGAGATTTTGTACATTTCCTTGAAGGTGTCTGCTTCCACGACCACTGCATGGGGCCATGCGTGCCCAGAAAGAGCTGCGGAAAAGGAAGAGAGCGAGAGGGGCGGTTGAAGAGAGAACGCTGGGAAGATTGCGTCCTCCTTGAAGGCGCCGGATTCCACAGCTGCGCGCCCAGAAAGAGCTGCGGAAAAGGAAGAGAGCGAGAGGGGCGGTTGAAGAGAGAGAGGTGGGAAGCGCCTTCTTCGACAACTACTGCGTGTGGCGCCATGCGCGCCCATAAGGTGCTGGGGGGTGGGGGGAGGAGGGGGGGTGGGTGGGTGGGGGGGAAATGTTATGCGGGGAAGGGAGAGTGGTGAAAGGGGAGAAAGAAAGCAGAGGAAAGTGCTTCTAATCAGCAGCAGCACAAGCTTCTTGCAACTCAGCCCTGATAGCCCACGAGCTCTAGCTCTCAACACCGCACTGTATGCCTTTGTCTCCCACAGCACCCCCCCTCACCGTTTCATGATCTCCTTGACCACCGTTGACTTGCCGGCGCCCATGCCGCCACCAATCAGAAGCAACACGGGCGAGCGCACCACCTTAGCACACTCACTCACCACCTTAGCACACTCACGCACCACCTTAGCACACTCACGCACCACCTTAGCACACTCACTCACCACCTTAGCACACTCACGCACCACCTCAGCACACTCACTCACCACCTTAGCACACTCACTCACCCTATCCCTCAACAATCTATCCCCCTCACCGTTTCATGATCTCCTTGACCACCGTTGACTTGCCGGCGCCCATGCCCCCACCAATCAGAAGCAACACGGGCGAGCGCACCGCCGCTGCTGCCGGCACCATCACCTCCCCCTCCCTCGGGACCTCCGCACTTGACGGGCGCGGGCGGGAGGGCGAGCGGGAGGGAGAGTGGGAGTGCGAAGGAGAGCGAGAGGGGGAGTGAGAGGGGGAGTGAGATGGGGAGGAAGTGGGGAACTGGAAGAGGGAGTGAGAGGGGGAGTGGGCGGTGAGGTGGTCACCCTCAGGGAGTGGGGGCGGGTCTCTGGTGCTCTTTGAGCCTGGCCGGACCCCATTCTTTAAGCGGACTTCACTCCCACTCTCACTCTCAGGGCCATCACTTCCCACTGCTTCACTGCTCTCCGCCGTATCTCTGCCTTCCCGTCCGTACCCCCCTTCAGATGCCCCCCCGTGGGCTCCTTCTCCCTGCCCCGCTCCCCCTTGCCCCGCTCTCCCTTGCCCCGCTCCCCCTTGCCCCACCCCCCCTGCTCCCCCCGGGCGGGGGCCACAGCCGAGGACCTTCATTTCTTCCAGCAGCTGGGAGAAGCGCTGCTGCGGGCGCAGACACGTTATTGCCTCGTTGAACCGCCTCTGCCTGCGTGGGGGGGTGCAGAGCATGATATCGTATGATGGCATGAATATAAGTTTAAACTACAACAACAATAACAGCAGTAACTCCTGGCACACTGTAACGTAGGGAGGTGGGGTAACTAGCTGCAGCTCATGCGGAGTTGGGCTCATTGCAACGGAGGGCCCTTTTTTTGAGAATTCTCATTGCAATGGGCCAAACTCCGCATCGTGTAGACCTGCAGTGCAGTGCAGCACTCACCGGATGACGGCGTTGACGGCGTCCCGAAAGTGCAGCTCAGCTTGCTGCTGGGCCCTCGGAATACCCGTAGGGAGTTTTGAGTCGACTCAAAGCACACCCTTGTGGATACGAGGATGGGGAGACACAGAGGGCTGCGTGGCTGCGTGACTGCGTGGCTGCGTGGCTGCGTGGCTGCGTGGCTGCGTGGCTGCGTGGCTGCATGGCTGCGTGGCTGCGTGGCTGCGTGGCTGCGTGGCTGGGTGGGTGGGTGGGTGCGTGGGTGGGTGGGTGGCTGCCTGGGTGGGTGGGTGGGTGGGTGGGTGGGTGGCTGCGTGGGTGGGTGGGTGGGTGGCTGGGTGGGTGGGTGGGTGGGTGGGTGGGTGGGTGGCTGCGTGGGTGGGTGGGTGGCTGCGTGGGTGGGTGGGTGGCTGCGTGGGTGGGTGGGTGGGTGGGTGGCTGGGTGGCTGGGTGGCTGGGTGGCTGGGTGGGTGGGTGGGTGGGTGGGTGGGTGGGTGGGTGGGTGGGTGGGTGGCTGCGTGGGTGGGTGGGTGGGTGGGTGGGTGGGTGGCTGCGTGGGTGGGTGGGTGGGTGGGTGGGTGGGTGGCTGCGTGGGTGGGTGGCTGGGTGGGTGGGTGGCTGGGTGGGTGGCTGCGTGGGTGGGTGGGTGGGTGGCTCACCGGATGACGGCGTTGACGGCGTCCCGCAAGTGCAGCTTACTGCTGGGCCCTCGGAACACCTGCGTGCAACAACGGGACATGCACAGGCGCACACGCATGGATGGGCGCACAGAGATGGGGGAAATGCACTCAGGCAGGTGGCATGCACATGCACATGCCAAGAAGGGAACACGCCCATGCACATGATGCCAAGAAGGGAACACGCCCATGCACAGAAGGGAACACGCCCATGCACATGCCAAGAAGGGAACACGCCCATGCACATGATGCACAGGCATGCACATGCACATGCACATGCCAAGAAGGGAACACGCCCATGCACATGCTCGTGTGCTCAGATTGCTCCCACTGACATAGGCTATCCCGATATCAATCAAAGTGACTTTCGAGCCAACTTTCCAATGACCCGCCGACCCCGGACCTCCTGCCCACCTGTTCGATCATGAGCGCGGAGTGCGGTCAGTGGAAACCAAAGTAGAGCTCGGCGCGCTCATGCATGAGTCAACCACCCCAACCTAACCATCACCCGTCTCCTTCCCTCACCTTCCTCCCCACTGCCTACTCCCCTCCCCTCACCTGTTCGATCATGAGCGCCGAGTGCGGCCAGTGGAAGCCAAAGTAAGACAGCATGCACGCGTCCAGCTCCGCGATCAGCTCCTCCCCCAGCTCCTCCCCCGCCTCCGCCTCCCCTTCCGCGCGGCCTCCCCCTGTCTGCGCGACGAGCGCAAGCAGGTTGGCGCGGCTCTTATCGGATGTGCTCTTATCGCCCCGCACGTAGTCGTCCGCCGCCTGCGCCAGTAGCGCCACCGCCGCCAGGTCCGTGGGCAGCCCCAGCTGGCGCACTGGCGGACGGGGGAGGCGGAGAGGCGGAAGGGGGAGGCGGAGTGGCGGAATGAGAAAGAGGGTGGCGGAAAGGGGACGGCGCGTAGCGGACGGGGAAAGGGAGAGAAACGGCAGGGGGAAAAGGGAGAGAAACGGCAGGGGGAAAAGGGAGAGAAACGGCAGGGGGAAAAGGGAGAGAAACGGCAGGGGGAAAAGGGACAGGGAAGTGTGCGGAATGGGAGAAGAGGGGAGGCGAAGACGGACAGTGGGTTGAGAGACTGGAATGATATGCCTACTACTCGCACGAAAAGTAGGCGCTGATACTTATATCCACTAAGTTAGCGATTAATATTCATCCCTACTACGTCAGCGATTCGGACTCGTCGTGTTTCACGCACCAACGTATTCGCCGAATCGCTCGATCCGTTTCACTTTCCCCGAACTCGCCGACCGTTCCACCAGCGGAACTAAATGAGCCACGCGCTCTCTCTCCTTTTCCGCGCCGCCGTGTTTCTCGCCGGTAAATACGCTGCGCCACGACAAGGCCCGCCGCCCACCGCTGGGCGGCACGCATTTCTGCGCGCGTTTGGCCCATTGACGCAGCCCTCGCAGGCCGACCAAGGACAGGCCGACAGCTGTCGCTGCGGCGGCGAGCGCAGCTATGGTTACGACTGACGGGCCGCGCCCTCCCCCGCTCACCGTGATGGTGCCTCCAGCCATGTCAGGGCAAGAAGGGGCTTTGTAAAACTCTTTTCAAGGTCTGTGCAATTATAAAATATTATTATAAAACGTTTTCCAGCAATACAAATATGGGGGTGTAGCTCACATGGTAGAGCGATCGCTTTGCATGCGATAGGTACGGGGATCGATACCCCGCGTCTCCAGGCTTGACTTTTGCTTATTGTGTCAGCTCGTTCAGACTGTCATTTGTTCGTCAATTTGTTCAGTCTTCTTTCCCTTCGTCACCGCGTCTTCTTGTAAAGAGAATGCTTCCCCAACGGCAGCTTATGAAAGAGCAACCTCAATATTGCGGTTCAGTGTTTTCTAAGTTGCTGTTTCAGTTAGGTGACTCTATTAGGGTTAGGATGCTCAAGACCCCAGTTTTCTGTCCAGCGCTTGTGCACAAATTTCCCCTTTTCCGCTTGCAAAGTTCCGTGCTGCTTCGCTGACGTCTGTTCACTGCGGTCCTAGGGATTACCGCGTGAAAACGTTTTGCGGAATACTTCGCCATGGCGCCGCAGCATCGCGCCACGCGGAAGCTCCGCGACGCGCTATCGGCGCGCATTGAGGCGTACGAGGCGGACAAGATGGGTCGCCAGGCCGACATGGCTCGGCGCGCTGCAATGGAGCAGAGAGCCGCCAAGAACGGCCGGCTAGCCAGCAACATTAGCGGGGACAACGGTTACATTGGCTATGATCGTGGTGATAGTTCATCAGGCTTCGGGAATAGTTTCTCTGGCTTCCGCAATGCACGTCCTGCTTCAAACGGGGGTTCGCGATCCCCCCGGAAAATCGAGGAAATCCTGCCGTGCGTTCCCGAGGACGCTCCAATCTCACCGTCGGATTCAGATGACTCGCTAGCAGCGCGCGAGGAAAAACTCCCGTTTCAAGGGCTCAGACGACGGCCTGTGGGACCCACCCCTAGTAGCACATCCCGCATTGTCACATTTGACCCTGCTCTTAGTACCGACCGAGCCGCCTCTTCGTCTTCCTCCTCCTCCTCCTCTTCCTCCGCCGTCTCCTCGTCCTATGGAGGAGCATCGCTCGGGATGCGCACATGGGCGCAGATATCGGCGCGCTTGGCCTGGTTACTCTTCTGCCTCGTCTCCCACGCCAGTCACGTGGCAAATGACTTCACCCTCCTCCTAGGCTTTTTCCTCACCGGGCAGGTGCTCACGCTGCCCGGCGCCGGCGCGTCGACGTCGCAGCACCTTCACCTGCCCGTTTTTGGCGCGACGAACGTGCACATCGGGCCGGCGAAGGGTAACACGTCTGCGAAGTTTATTCGCCCGGGCGTGAAGGGCGGCATCAGCATCAGCCGCATGTGCAAGAACTGCGCCTCGTTCGTCATGTACGCGGGATGGAACATGCCCGGCGCGCTCGTGACGTGGCAGATGCTCCTCGATGTCGTCACTGCTGTCGCGTTATTGTCCATCCCGATACAGCTCTACGTCTTCGTTAAGAGCTCCAAGGCGAGTGATTATATGCGCTGCTGATTCGCGTGCTCGGATGTTGAGACGTCTCAGTACGAGGCCGTGCTTACGAGTGTGGTATGGTAGCCTCGTTTCTCCGTGCCTGCCTGCCTTTCCCAGTCACCCTTTAGTCCCTCGTCCCTCGTTTCTTCCGCCAACTCGATTCCACCTTACTTCCCTCCCCGTGACCTCTCTCTCCTTCTCTACCCACAACGTAATTGGTGTTTGAAGAAGGGTTTTGAGACGTCTCAAAACCTCTCTCTCCTTCACTACCCACAACGTAATCGGCTTCTTTCTGTCGGATTTCCCTTTTCGCGTGCTCCGTCTCGTCGTCCCTGCTCCTCTGCTCATTCCTCTCCCCACTCTCTTCGCTCGTCTCCCATCTCTCCTCTCTCCTCGCGCCTCATGCCAGCGAACTCACTCCTCTGCTCCTCCCCTCTTTCCCCAATACCCCTTTCCCCCCGTACAGAAGTTCCCCTACCATTTGCTCATCCTGCAGTTCGGCGCCTTCGTCACCACCACGGGGTGAGTCATACCATGCCCATGTGTTAATCATGCCATGCCATGCCATGCCACAATGCCCTGCCCTGCCCATGTACAGCATGCCACACTCATGCCAGCTGTCGGTGCTCATAAGCTGCTGCCCTGTCTGCGCCCACACTCCCTCATTCTTCCCCACCCTCCCCCTTTCCCCCCCTTTCCCCTCTCCCCCCGTCTCCCCTCCTTCCCCCAGCCTAACCCATCTGTTGGAGCTGTTCTCATACGGCCATCTGCCGCGATTCCTGCTGCTGGGCATCACGGCGTGCAAGCTGCTCTCCGCGCTCATCAGCTGCTGCACCGTGCTGCAGCTGGGGCTGGAGCTGAGCGATATCGCCATGGTGCACGAGAGGACTGTGCAGCTCAAGAGCAAGGTGAGAAGTGAGGGGGGATGGGTGGCAAGGCAAGGCTAGGTGGAGGAGAAGATGGGCCGAGTCTTGAGAAACTTGTTTTTTGAGAATTCTCAAACAAGATGGGCCAAGTCTTGAGAAACATTCTCGGGTTTCAAAGACCTCTGCTTCCATCACAACTGGGGCTGGATCATATCTGGACGTTTCAGAAGCCCTTTTCCCCGCCTTGCTCCCCCCACTTCCCACGTTTCCCCCCCCCCTTCCGTTGTGTTCGCCCTTCGTGTTCAACTCTTCGTCTCTTCTCCCCACTTTCTCCCGTACAAGTAGATGGAGGAGAGCAACAAGGAGGTAACGAGATTAATGGAGGCGCACGAGGTGGAGCAGCAGCTGAGGCTGATATGCCAGCGCATGGTCTCGTGCCCCCTTCCTTTCCCCGTTATCACCTCTTCGCCCCTCTCTTGTATCTTCCTTGTCTCCCTTCCCTCCCTTGTGCTGAGCGCTCACCGTCTTTTTGCCCTCCCTTGCGTTCCCCCCTTTCCCTCCCAATGGCAGACGGAGGAGAGCAACAAGGAGGTGACGCGGCTGATGGAGGCGCACGAGGTGGAGCAGCAGCTGCGGCTGATAGGCCAGCGCATCCGCAGCACGTTGGACCGCGGGGTCATCATCAGCACCGCGCTGCTCGAGCTGCGCGACCTGCTGGGCCTCGAGAACGCCGCGCTCTGGCTGCCAGCCCCTAACGGGCGGTCCCTGGAGCTGACGAATGAGTGCGAGCACAGAGTGAATCCCATGCTCACACTCGTGCCGCTCAAGGACAAGGTCGTCTCGCAGGTGGGTCATATCACAAGGCACAAGCCATTAACCGCAGCCTTTCAATCCTTCGACCAATCTACACTTCAGGCAAGAGCCTTACGTACTAGAACGACCTGACCTGCTGGGACTTGGTAACGATGCGCTCTGGCTGCCCGCGCGCGCCCAATGGGCGGTCGCTGGAGCTGACCAACGAGTGCAAGCGAGCACAGAGTGAATCCCATCCCATGCTCTCGCTCGTTCCCCTCAAGGACAAGGTCGTCTCGCAGGTGAGCTCTGCCAGCCAGGCCTTCAGCGCTTGTGCACGTGAAACCCTACGCACTTGAACAGCCTCTGAGTGAGCCCTCGAGAACGCCGCGCTGTGGCTGCTCTCGCCCAACGGCCGGTCACTGGAGCTGACGAATGAGTGCGAGCACCGGGTCAACCCCATGCTCACTCTTGTTCCCCTCAAGGACAAGGTCGTCTCGCAGGTGAGCTGTGCCAGCCTTTCAGCCCTTGAGCGCGTGAAGAAGCCGTGAGTGAGCCCTTGGGGAACGCCGCGCTCTGGCTGCCCGCGCCTAATGGGAGGTCCCTGGAGCTGACTAATGAGTGCGAGCACCGAGTCAACCCCATGCTCACACTCGTGCCTCTCAAAGACAAGGTCGTCTCTCAGGCATGTGCTGCCAGCCAGCCTTCAAGGCTTCAACAACCCTTGAGCCTCCTGACTTATACCTTTCCCTTTCCCTTTCCAACCGAGCGGCCATGGTCATCCCTTCACCCTGCCAGCTCGTGGAGTCAACTCAGAATTTCCCCCGCCCTTCCCGTCCGCTTCCCCTCCTCTCGCCCCCCCCACTCCTTCCATCTTCAGGTGATAGCCAACCGCGCAGCCATGATCATCCCATCATCCTGCCAGCTTGTCGAGTGCTCCGCACTGCCGCCCCCACTAGGCTTGGGCCGAACCATTGAGGGAGGTAAGGCGGCCTGCTGCTTGCTGCGCATCGAGTGGCGGGTGGCTCGTGAGGTGGCTGCAGGTTGCTGCTCCTCTTGGAGTGAGAAGTGTCAAGCTTGAGGGGGGTCAGGAGTGAGAGGATTAAGGGGGGTAGGAGTGAGAGGATTAAGGGGGTAGGAGTGAGAGGATTAAGGGGGGTAGGAGTGAGAGGATTAAGGGGGGTAGGAGTGAGAGGATTAAGGGGGGTAGGAGTGAGAGGATTAAGGGGGGTAGGAGTGAGAGGTTTAAGGGGGGTAGGAGTGACAGGATTAAGGGGGGTAGGAGTGAGAGGATTCAGGGGGGTAGGAGTGAGAGGATTAAGGGGGGTAGGAGTGAGAGGATTAAGGGGGGTAGGAGTGAGAGGATTAAGGGGGGTAGGAGTGAGAGGATTAAGGGGGGTAGGAGTGAGAGGATTAAGGGGGGTAGGAGTGAGAGGATTAAGGGGGGTAGGAGTGAGAGGATTAAGGGGGGTAGGAGTGAGAGGATTAAGGGGGGTAGGAGTGAGAGGATTAAGGGGGGTAGGAGTGAGAGGATTAAGGGGGGTAGGAGTGGGAGGATTAAGGGGGGTAGGAGTGAGAGGATTAAGGGGGGTAGGAGTGAGAGGATTAAGGGGGGTAGGAGTGAGAGGATTAAGGGGGGTAGGAGTGAGAGGATTAAGGGGGGTAGGAGTGAGAGGATTAAGGGGGGTAGGAGTGAGAGGATTAAGGGGGGTAGGAGTGAGAGGATTAAGGGGGGTAGGAGTGAGAGGATTAAGGGGGGTAGGAGTGAGAGGATTAAGGGGGGTAGGAGTGAGAGGATTAAGGGGGGTAGGAGTGAGAGGATTAAGGGGGGTAGGAGTGAGAGGATTAAGGGGGGTAGGAGTGAGAGGATTAAGGGGGGTAGGAGTGAGAGGATTAAGGGGGGTAGGAGTGAGAGGATTAAAGGGGGGTAGGAGTGAGAGGATTAAGGGGGGTAGGAGTGAGAGGATTAAGGGGGGTAGGAGTGAGAGGATTAAGGGGGGTAGGAGTGAGAGGATTAAGGGGGGGTAGGAGTGAGAGGATTAAGGGGGGTAGGAGTGAGAGGATTAAGGGGGGTAGGAGTGAGAGGATTAAGGGGGGTAGGAGTGAGAGGATTAAGGGGGGTAGGAGTGAGGGGATTAAGGGGGGTAGGAGTGAGAGGATTAAGGGGGGTAGGAGTGAGAGGATTAAGGGGGGTAGGAGTGAGAGGATTAAGGGGGGTAGGAGTGAGAGGATTAAGGGGGGTAGGAGTGAGAGGATTAAGGGGGGTAGGAGTGAGAGGATTAAGGGGGGTAGGAGTGAGAGGATTAAGGGGGGTAGGAGTGAGAGGATTAAGGGGGGTAGGAGTGAGAGGATTAAGGGGGGTAGGAGTGAGAGGATTAAGGGGGGTAGGAGTGAGAGGATTAAGGGGGGTAGGAGTGAGAGGATTAAGGGGGGTAGGAGTGAGAGGATTAAGGGGGGTAGGAGTGAGAGGATTAAGGGGGGTAGGAGTGAGAGGATTAAGGGGGGTAGGAGTGAGAGGATTAAGGGGGGTAGGAGTGAGAGGATTAAGGGGGGTAGGAGTGAGAGGATTAAGGGGGGTAGGAGTGAGAGGATTAAGGGGGGTAGGAGTGAGAGGATTAAGGGGGGTAGGAGTGAGAGGATTAAGGGGGGTAGGAGTGAGAGGATTAAGGGGGGTAGGAGTGAGAGGATTAAGGGGGGTAGGAGTGAGAGGATTAAGGGGGGTAGGAGTGAGAGGATTAAGGGGGGTAGGAGTGAGAGGATTAAGGGGGGTAGGAGTGAGAGGATTAAGGGGGGTAGGAGTGAGAGGATTAAGGGGGGTAGGAGTGAGAGGATTAAGGGGGGTAGGAGTGAGAGGATTAAGGGGGGTAGGAGTGAGAGGATTAAGGGGGGTAGGAGTGAGAGGATTAAGGGGGGTAGGAGTGAGAGGATTAAGGGGGTAGGAGTGAGAGGATTAAGGGGGGTAGGAGTGAGAGGATTAAGGGGGGTAGGAGTGAGAGGATTAAGGGGGGTAGGAGTGAGAGGATTAAGGGGGGTAGGAGTGAGAGGATTAAGGGGGGTAGGAGTGAGAGGATTAAGGGGGGTAGGAGTGAGAGGATTAAGGGGGGTAGGAGTGAGAGGATTAAGGGGGGTAGGAGTGAGAGGATTAAGGGGGGTAGGAGTGAGAGGATTAAGGGGGGTAGGAGTGAGAGGATTAAGGGGGGTAGGAGTGAGAGGATTAAGGGGGGTAGGAGTGAGAGGATTAAGGGGGGTAGGAGTGAGAGGATTAAGGGGGGTAGGAGTGAGAGGATTAAGGGGGGTAGGAGTGAGAGGATTAAGGGGGGTAGGAGTGAGAGGATTAAGGGGGGTAGGAGTGAGAGGATTAAGGGGGGTAGGAGTGAGAGGATTAAGGGGGGTAGGAGTGAGAGGATTAAGGGGGGTAGGAGTGAGAGGATTAAGGGGGGTAGGAGTGAGAGGATTAAGGGGGGTAGGAGTGAGAGGATTAAGGGGGGTAGGAGTGAGAGGATTAAGGGGGGTAGGAGTGAGAGGATTAAGGGGGGTAGGAGTGAGAGGATTAAGGGGGGTAGGAGTGAGAGGATTAAGGGGGGTAGGAGTGAGAGGATTAAGGGGGGTAGGAGTGAGAGGATTAAGGGGGGTAGGAGTGAGAGGATTAAGGGGGGTAGGAGTGAGAGGATTAAGGGGGGTAGGAGTGAGAGGATTAAGGGGGGTAGGAGTGAGAGGATTAAGGGGGGTAGGAGTGAGAGGATTAAGGGGGGTAGGAGTGAGAGGATTAAGGGGGGTAGGAGTGAGAGGATTAAGGGGGGTAGGAGTGAGAGGATTAAGGGGGGTAGGAGTGAGAGGATTAAGGGGGGTAGGAGTGAGAGGATTAAGGGGGGTAGGAGTGAGAGGATTAAGGGGGGTAGGAGTGAGAGGATTAAGGGGGGTAGGAGTGAGAGGATTAAGGGGGGTAGGAGTGAGAGGATTAAGGGGGTAGGAGTGAGAGGATTAAGGGGGGTAGGAGTGAGAGGATTAAGGGGGGTAGGAGTGAGAGGATTAAGGGGGGTAGGAGTGAGAGGATTAAGGGGGGTAGGAGTGAGAGGATTAAGGGGGGTAGGAGTGAGAGGATTAAGGGGGGTAGGAGTGAGAGGATTAAGGGGGGTAGGAGTGAGAGGATTAAGGGGGGTAGGAGTGAGAGGATTAAGGGGGGTAGGAGTGAGAGGATTAAGGGGGGTAGGAGTGAGAGGATTAAGGGGGGTAGGAGTGAGAGGATTAAGGGGGGTAGGAGTGAGAGGATTAAGGGGGGTAGGAGTGAGAGGATTAAGGGGGGTAGGAGTGAGAGGATTAAGGGGGGTAGGAGTGAGAGGATTAAGGGGGGTAGGAGTGAGAGGATTAAGGGGGGTAGGAGTGAGAGGATTAAGGGGGGTAGGAGTGAGGGGGGTAGGAGTGAGGGGGGTAGGAGTGAGGGGGGTAGGAGTGAGGGGGGTAGGAGTGAGGGGAGCCAGGAGATTGGGAACTGCAGTGTGGCATTCTGCTGCTGCTGCTGCAACTGATACCTGAAATGCATTTCTGCCCTCATCCCTCCCTCCTCCCCCCTCCCTCCCCTTCTTTCCCCATCTGTTCTCCCGCTCTCCTGTCCCGCCCTCCCCATCCTCCCCCAGGCGCTGCTGCTGTGCCGGTGACACTGGCAGACCCAGCCACGCCGGGAGCAAGGAGCCCTCAGGACGCGGCCTCCATGGAGTATGGCGTGCTCGTGCTGCTGCTGCCGGGGGAGGTCGCGGAGAAGGGCAAGGGGGGCGCAGGCGGAGGCGGAGGGGCGGGTGGAGGGGGAGGGGGAGGCGGAGGGGGAGAGGGCGGGTTGAAGAAGTTCCGCCAAGAGGTGCTGGAGAAGGTGGATACGGTTGCTGAGCAGGTGAGAGGGGAGGGGAGATCAGGAAAGGGGGGAGTTTCGAGATCAGGTAAGGGGGGAGTTTCTTACTTGACTAAGGTATTTTCAGCAGGGAGGTGCTGGAGAAGGTGGATACGGTGGCGGTACAGGTGAGAGGGGAGGGGAGGGAGGGAAGTGGAGGGGGGTGGTGGGCGAGATTTCTGAGATTCTGAGGGGGAGGGGGCGGTCTGATACAGTATCCCTCTCTCCTTCTCTCCTCCCCGGCCACAGCTGGCAGTGGCGCTGCGGCATGCGGGGGTGCTGGAGGCGAGCCGGCAGGCACACGAGGTGTTGCTGGAGGAGGGCGAGCAGCTCAAGCAGGCCAACCTGGAGGGCAAATCCGCTGTCAAGGCGCGAGACAACTTCCTGCAGGTGCGTACTGGACAGGTGCCATATGCGGCAGGCAGGTGCCATCTGCGGCAGGTGCCATCTGCGGCAGGTGCCATCTGCGGCAGGCGCTATCTGCGGCAGGTGTCGTCTGAGACAGGTGCCATCTGAGACAGGTGCCATCTGAGACAGGTGCCATCTGAGACAGGTGCCATCTGAGACAGGTGTCATCTGAGACAGGTGTCATCTGATACAGGTGTCATCTGAGACAGGTGTCATCTGAGACAGGTGTCATCTGAGACAGGTGCCATCCAAGGCAGGTGCCATCCGAGGCAGGTGCCATCCGAGGCAGGTGCCATCCGAGGCAGGTGCCATGTGCCATGTCAAGCTAGTATTGTCGTGGTGTAGTTTTTTTTTAAGACAGGTGGGATCTGGGGTGGGTGCTCTCTCAGTCATGCGTTGTTGTGGTCCCTTTTGACCCGACCTTTCTTTTCTTTTCCCCCCTTCCCTCTGCAAGTGATGAACGCCAAGATGAGCACGCAAATGCACCCTGTCACCGTGCTCTCCCATGTCCCCGTGCCCTTCCTTCCCCACTCCCCCATTTTCTCCCTACACCCCCTCCGCCCCCCTCCCCCCTCCGCCCCTCTGCCCCCTCTGCAGGTGATGAACGCCAAGATGCGGACGCCAATGCACTCCATCACGGCGCTCTCATCTCTTCTCGCCGAGTCGGATCTGAACGACGAGCAGCGCTCCATGGCGGAAACCGTCGCCTTCTCTTCAACCCTCCTCGCCTCGCTGCTGTACGACATCCTCGAGTTCTGGCGCCTGGAGGAGGACAACATGAAGCTCGTGCTCGGCCCCGAGCAGTTCGAGCTGCCGGCTCTGGTTACCGAGGCGGAGACGTTATCATCCCCCATCGCCAAGGACAAGGGCATCATGCTGACTTTCAAGGCGGATCCGAACTTGCCGGAGAGTGTGATCGGGGACGGCAACAGGCTGCTGCAGGTGCGTTGGTATGGGGGTGAACAAGAGAGTACATGACTCGATCCAGGCCTGCTTGTACCTCGTGGAGTTCTGGCGCCTGGAGGACGACAACATGAAGCTCGTGCTCGGCCCAGAGCAGTTCGAGCTGCCGGCTCTGGTTACCGAGGCAGAGACGTTATCGTCGCTTATTGCCAAGGACAAGGGTATCATGCTCACCTTCAAGGCGGACCCGAACCTGCCGGAGAGCGTCATTGGGGACGGGAACCGGCTGCTGCAGGTGCGTTGGTATGGAACTGGGCAGTAGAGAGTATGTATGACTGGATCTTTGAGGCGCCTGGAGGAGGAGGACAACATGAAGCTCGTGCTCGGCCCCGAGCAGTTTGAGCTGCCCGCACTGGTCACCGAGGCCGAGACGCTCTCGTCGCCCATCGCCAAGGACAAGGGCATCATGCTCACCTTCAAGGCGGATCCGAACCTGCCGGAGAGTGTGATCGGGGATGGCAACAGGCTGCTGCAGGTGCGTTGGTTTGTGGGAGTGAGTGAGTGAGCAGTAGAGGTATACGACTGGGGTGTTTGAGGCGCCTCTCAGGCCTCAAGAAACGCCTGTGACAAGCTGTGGCACCTCCGCACTCGTAAGTGTTCTTGAGTTACCTGCACTCTTTTGAGACGTCTCAAAAGACGTCTCAACACTTGAGCCTCAAGAAACGCCTGTGACAAGCTGTGGCACGAGAATGTTGTTGAGTTGCCCGCACCGCACTCGTCGGCACCCAGGTGGAGGCTCTATCCTCCCCTCTTGCCAAGGACAGAGGCATCATGCTCACCTTCAAGGCGAAGCCTCACCTCCCTGAGAGCTTAATTGGGGACAAAACAAAGGTTCCTATTTGAGCTGGTTTTTTAGAATTCTCAAAAACCAGCCCAACCTTCCTGAGAGCTTAATTGGGGACAAAAGTCGCTATTTGAGTCAACTAAGAAATTGACCTGCCTGAGAGCATGATTGGGGACAGGAACCGGCTGCTGCCGGTGCGTGCGTGTGGTTTAGCGGCATAGCTTTCCATCAAGCACGTGGGTGGGAACCTAAGCCCACTCATACACACACATTATACCCCCTGCCCCCTTTCACCCTCCCGCTCTTCCCCCCAGGTGCTGCTGAATGTGATAAACAACGCCATCAAGTACACAAACACGGGCACCATCACAGTCACCGTGGCCCCCGAGCGCATAGAGTGGGCGCGTGACGGCTTCATGCTCAAGGCGGAGGCGGCAAGCTCCCAGGGCACACGTTCATCCCAAGTGCTCTCCACCACAATGCACCGCAATGCACCGCAATACACTGTGTGATTCACCTCCTCTTCACCTTCTTCCTCCCCTTCCCACTCTACCACCCCCAGGTCCTACTGAACGTGATAAACAACGCCATCAAGTACACAAACACGGGCACCATCACCGTGACCGTGGCCCCCGAGCGCATGGAGTGGGCGCGCGACGGCTTTGTGCTCAAGGCGGAGGCGGGCCACACGTTCATCCGCTTCGAAGTCAAGGACTCGGGCGTGGACCTTCAAGCTGCGGATATTCCGAAGCTGTTTGACAAGTTCCAGGAAGATGAGACCAAGGGCAGCAGGACTGGATTGGGGTTGGCGCTCTCCCGCAAGTTCGTGCAGGTGAGGCCCGGGTTGAGAGCCCCTGGGGGGACGGGGCGGGGTGCATGGGGGGACGGGACGGGGCGTGCAGGGCAGCAGGGGCAGGGCAGCAGGGGCAGGGCAGGGGCTGCGTGCTCAAGGCGGAGCCGGGCCACACGCTCATCCGCTTTGAGGTGAAGGACTCGGGCGTGGACCTCCAAGCCGCTGGCTGTATGGAGAGTAAGAGCCGTGTGGCAGGGTGTATGGAGGGGGCAGGGAGTGGACCTGTGCTCAAGGCGGAGGCCGAGGTGAGTGCTGGGGTGAGGTGAGACTCTGGCGGTGGTTGGAGGGAAGATTGGTGGGAAGATTGGTGGGAAGATTGGTGGGAAGATTGGTGGGAAGATTGGTGGGAAGATTGGTGGGAAGAATGGTAGGAAGAATGGTGGGAAGATTGGTGGGAAGATTGGTGGGAAGATTGGTGGGAAGATTGGTGGAAGATTGGTGGGAAGATTGGTGGGAAGATTGGTGGGAAGATTGGTGGGAAGATTGGTGGAAGATTGGTGGGAAGATTGGTGGGAAGGTTGGTGGGAAGATTGGTGGGAAGATTGGTGGGAAGATTGGTGGAAGATTGGCGGGAAGATTGGTGGGAAGATTGGTGGGAAGATTGGTGGGAAGATTGGTGGGAAGATTGGTGGGAAGATTGGTGGGAAGATTGGTGGGAAGATTGGAGGGTGTGGGAGGAATATCAGGGTACCCTCTCGAACCATGGCTCCACTACGGCTCCCTTTGGGAAGCATGTGTAGGTGAGGGTGGGTGATGGTCGGAGTGAGAGGAAAGCCACTTGAAGATTCATAAGGTGCCTCCCTCTCTGTGTTTCTCCATCCATGCATCTCTGCCTCCTTGCCCACATACCAGCTGATGAACTAGCATATCTGCATTTTCCCTCCCTGCTTCCCCTCCTACCTCTCTGCCGCCCCCTCCCTCCCTTCCTTCCTCCCTCCCTCCCTTCCTCCCTCCCTTCCTCCCTCCCTCCCTCCCTCCCTGCCTCGCTGCCTCCCTGCCCCACTGCCGGAACCGCAGCTGATGAACGGGCACATATGGATGGAGAGCAACGGGCGGGGCAAGGGAGCGACATGCAAGTTCCTGGCCATGCTCAAACTGGACGCCGAGGGCAGCGACCGCAGCGACGAGGACGAGGACGAGGGGCCTGACGTCAACTTCTTTGCTTTGCGGGTGAGTCAGCTTCAAGTGCCGGTTTTGGGGCGAGATGACACCTCCTTTACTCCATCGAGTTTGTCTCGTTGTCCTAAAACAACACGAGTGGATGGAAGTAAGGCCTTCGCAGCCCAGATGTCCGCTTTTGACAAGTGCCAGATGGGGGTGAGGTGACACCTCCTTTACCCTCTCCTACCATAACGCCGCTTCCCCCGCTTCCCCTCCCCATCATCGCAAATCGGTAACCCATGCTCTCAGCGTGGGAGGGGTGGTAACTGACTCACTCTCTCCTTTCCCCTGCCCCCCTTCCCCTCCCCTCTCTTTATCCGTACCATGGTGGTAGACAACAACATGGTGAACCGGCTGGTGACGAAGCTCCTGCTTTTGGTGCCTCAAACTCCTGGCACCCCCCCCTTCCTCTTTCGCCCTACTCTTCTTCTTTCTTCCCCTGCCTTTTCCTTTCCCAGCTCATGGTGGTGGATGAAAACATTTTGAGTCGACTCAAAAGTCAGCTCATGGTGGTGGATGAAAACATGGTGAATCGACTGGTGCCATGTAAGCCAAGTCCTGAAGCTCCTCCCCTGCCTTCCCACCTGACCCCTTTGTCAACCAACCCAACCCCAACCCCAACCCCAACCCCTCATCTCTCCACCCACCCCAGATCATAGTGGTGGATGACATGACAACATGGTGAAGTGCCTCGTGACGAAGCGTCTTCTTGATTGCATCGGAATCTCAACGCGCGTGGTGGAGTCGGGCAGGGAGTGCCTGCGCATCCCACATCCCACATCCCACATCCCACATCCCACACCCCACATCCCACATCCCACATCCCACACCCCACATCCTACATCCCACATCCCACATCCCACATCCCACACCCCACATCCCACATCCCACATCCCACACCCCACATCCCACATCCCACACCCCACATCCCACATCCCACATCCCACACCCCACCCACCTCCAGTTAACCCCACCGATCCCCACAACCCCATCCTTTCCCTTCCATCTCAGATCATGGTGGTGGATGACAACATGGTGAATCGACTGGTCACAAAGCGTCTTCTGGATCGCATCGGCATCTCAACGCGTGTGGTGGAGTCGGGCAAGGAGTGCCTGCGCATCCTGGCGGAGGAGCAGGACGAGGAGAAGTACGATGTGCTGCTGCTCGACCTCATGATGCCCGAGGTGGGTTGAAAGGGGGGGGAAGAGGGGAGGGGGAGTGGGATGGTGGTTGGGTTGGGGGGTACTCCCCTTGGGAGCAGGACGAGGAGAAGTACGATGTGCTGCTGCTCGACCTCATGATGCCCGAGGTGGGTTGAAAGGGGGGGGAAGAGGGGAGGGGGAGTGGGATGGTGGTTGGGTTGGGGGGTACTCCCCTTGGGAGCAGGACGAGGAGAAGTACGATGTGCTGCTGCTCGACCTCATGATGCCCGAGGTGGGTTGAAAGGGGGGGGAAGAGGGGAGGGGGAGTGGGATGGTGGTTGGGTTGGGGGGTACTCCCCTTGGGAGCAGGACGAGGAGAAGTACGATGTGCTGCTGCTCGACCTCATGATGCCCGAGGTGGGTTGAAAGGGGGGGGAAGAGGGGAGGGGGAGTGGGATGGTGGTTGGGTTGGGGGGTACTCCCCTTGGGAGCAGGACGAGGAGAAGTACGATGTGCTGCTGCTCGACCTCATGATGCCCGAGGTGGGTTGAAAGGGGGGGGAAGAGGGGAGGGGGAGTGGGATGGTGGTTGGGTTGGGGGGTACTCCCCTTGGGAGCAGGACGAGGAGAAGTACGATGTGCTGCTGCTCGACCTCATGATGCCCGAGGTGGGTTGAAAGGGGGGGGAAGAGGAGAGGGGGAGTGGGATGGTGGTTGGGTTGGGGGGTACTCCCCTTGGGAGCAGGACGAGGAGAAGTACGATGTGTTGCTGCTCGACCTCATGATGCCCGAGGTGGGTTGAAAGGGGGGGGAAGAGGGGAGGGGGAGTGGGATGGTGGTTGGGTTGGGGGGTATGCCCGAGGTGGGTTTGTTAGGGGGAGGAGGTGAGGGAGAGGGGGGTGGGGGAGGGGGTGGGTGTTCATCAAGGAAAGGTGAGCACGGGAGGAGCAGGACGAGGAGAAGTACGGCGTTGTGCAGCTAGACCTCATGATGCCCAAAGTTGGGACACATGGAAAGAGGGGAGGGAGGGAAGGGGGAGGAGGAAGAGGAGGGGGGACGTGGCACTCGGCTTTGCTATGCACTCAGCATCACAACCCGCCTCTGCTCTGCCCTTCCCCCCACTTTCTCACCTCCCACCCCCCCCCCCTCTCGCCTCCTCCAAATGGACGCGTACACAGTGGCCAACAAGATCCGCACAGAGCTCAAGGCAGAGCTGCGGCCGATAATTGTCGTGCTGACGGCCCTCACTCACGGCCCGCCTCTGCCCCTGCCCCTTCTCCCCACTCCTCTCCCTCACCCCCTCCAGATGGACGGGTACACAGTGGCAAACAAGATCCGCACAGAGCTCAAGGCAGAGCTGCGGCCGATGATAGTGGCGCTGACAGCCAATGCGGACGAGACCACCAAGGACCAGTGCCTGCGCCACGGCATGGCCGGCATGATCACCAAACCCATCTCGCTCAACGCGCTTCGTGATGTGCTCGGGAAAATGCTGGACCAGAACGCGCGGAATAACTGAGGGCGAGGGGGAGGGGTGGGGGGGAGGGGGGAGAGAAGGTTGGGCCAGGGGGGGGGAGGGGAGGAGGTGGGAGGGGGAAGGAGGTTTTTTTTAGGTGACTTTGGAGTCGACTCAAAAGGGGGGGGGGGGGGGGGGGGGAGGGGAGGAGGTGGGAGGGGGAAGGAGGTTTTTTTGAGGCTGGGAGAGGAGCAGAGTAAGTTCTTTAAGAAGCTCAGCGATTCTTCAGGGGCTGGTTTAACATCACTTAGTTCATGCCCATGCGGCACGGCATGGCCGGCACGGCATGGCCGGCACGGCATGATCACCAAACCAGTCTCGCTCAACACCCTCGGCAACGTGCTCGGGAAGATCCTGGACCAGAATGCACGGAATAACTGAGGAAGTCGCATCACGGTGGGTGTGCGGGCACGGAGGAAGGTGGGGAGGGGGGTGGCGGAAGGGGAGCGTGGAAGGGGGGAGGGGGGATGGGGTGTTTTTGCGGCTGGGTGTGGAGCAGAGTAGGTTGTGCTTGGTGAGTAGTGTAGTGTGCATGCAGCTAAACAGAGGGTTGTTGTGAGGTGGCTTTAGGACGATGTTGGATTGAAACAGTCTTGATCTCAGGTTGTACTAGCTGTACCACTACACTAAAAACCACGGTTGTCGCTGAACCTTCTGCGATAATATTCGCCCTAGCATTTTTACCAGTATTTATGGAAAGGCGCCCGGGTCATATCCTGGGAAATGCTGTACATGCTGTATAAATTGAAACATATCACTGGTGACGTTGAAGAGTCCACTATGGAGGTAGCAAGATGATGATAGTGTTAGAATTGGGTTGCGTACATGTTTAGTACCGAATTGTACTCGACGTTAGCGAAAAAGGGTGACCCTCCCTACCGACGGGCAATCAGTTAGTCTGAATTGGTTGGGAAAAACCCTCTTATTGTCAAAATGAGGAATGATGATGCCATTGATGTTAGTTGGGGTACATATAACAAACCCTAACTTCTGTACCCCCTAAGACAAACCTCACTACAGGCTACAACATTTGACACACCCCCATAGCCTAAGTGAGGGGTGTCTAGTAAAATAAAAAGAGTACGGTCACAAGACCAGTCCAAAAGAAAACAAAGCTCAGGGTGGATCACAACGTCACCACACTCTCTGAGCACAAGCAACAGTGGCCACAAGGCCAGTCCAAGAGATCACAAGTATATATAGCAAGAGTACAGACGAAGCAGGCAATAAACTCAAGCCTACACATGACTAGAACCTGTGTCAACAAGGCCTAACTGCACACAACACCTCTGGTGGTCACGAGGCGGAAGCGCCTTGGTGAAGATGTCTGCAGTGTTGGCCTCGGACTCCACAAACTCGAAGCGAGCCTGTCCACGTCTCTGCAACTCTCGCAGAAGAAAGTACCTGACGTGAATGTGCTTCACTCTGCTCTCCAGTCGCGGCTCACGACAGAGGAGGATCGACGCCTTGTTGTCAGTGAACAAAGTCGGTGCAGAGCTCGGCCGCTCACCAAGGTCGGCGAGCAAGAAGGTCAACCAACGCAACTCCTGTGCCGCCATGGCACCAGCGTAAATCTCAGCCTCAGCTGTAGAGGTCGAGACAGAAGAGGAGCGCGTGGAACGCCAGGAAACAGCTCCAGAACCCAGACTGAAACAGTACCCCTGAGTAGACCTGTGAGTCTCAGCGTCGTCAGCGTAAGAGGAGTCACAGTGACCAGTGAGTACGACATACTGCTGCCCTCCAAGAACTAGCCCCACGCCTGATGTAGTCGCTAGGTACTTCGCCACCCTCACAGCTGCCGTCCAGTGAACAGGACGGTGTCTCCCTGGCGCAACAAAGCGCGCAAGGATGCTGAGAGGGAAGGCGAGGTCCGGGCGAGTACAAGTCATCAGGTACATGAGGCAACCCACAAGCTCTGCGTAGGGACCACTAGGCTCAAACGGCTCGTCAGGAAAGGGACCAGTGAGTCTGTGGTCAACAGCGAGAGGTGTGCGCTGTACGGTGGAGTGCTGAAGCCCGAACCGCTGAAGGACCTGCTGCACCATGTGTGACTGTGAGAGTGTAATGGTGCGAGCGGCTCTGTCCCTGGTGATCTGCAGGCCAAGGTAGTGGCGCAGCTCACCAAGATCAGTGCACGTGTGTCTCTTCTGCAGTTCGGACTTCACGTCTGCCAAAGCAACCCTGTCCGGAGTGGCGAAAACGAGGTCGTCGACGTAAACCAGAACAAAGAACGGTGTGGAGCCACGACGAACGAACAGCGACGGGTCGGCAGAAGACGGCTGGAACCCAAGGTCAGAGAGGGTAGAACGCAGAGTGTCGTGCCACTCACGAGGGGCCTGGCGAAGACCGTAAACAGGTCGCCTCAGCCTCCACTGGGTCCCAGGAGGGAAGGTGCCAGTGAAGGCCGAGGGACGACGCAACCAGACCTCCTCGTGTAGGCTGCCCTGAAGGAAAGCAGTGGAGAAGTCGAGAGAGTGTAACTCGTAGTCTCTCTGTGCTGCTACGTGTAGTAACACCCGAAGAGTGGTCATCTTCGGGGTAGGTGCGAAGGTCTGAAAGAAGTCAACTCCCTCGCGCTGACTGAAACCTCTAGCCACGTAGCGCGCCTTGAAGACCGGGGGAGATCCCGGTGGCCGCTTCACCCTGTAGATCCACATGCCGTCGACTACGTTCTCCCCAGGGGGGGGAACCTCATCGACGTAGGTGCCTGTGGATCTGTAGGAGGCCATCTCTGCGTCCATGGCAGCTCTCCACTGAGAGGCCCAAGGCCCTGACACTGCCTCAGCGTAAGTGCGAGGAGTCGGAATGTCAAGGGCGTCGGGGTCACCCTCAGGGGCGAGGAGCATGGCACAGAGATGAGGGGAAGCGGCCGCCAGGAACTCTAGCTCAAACTGCCTGTCCTCTAGGGCGTCACAGCCAAGGGCAGACACACCCCCGACGGCCAGAGGACTGGTAGGAGGAGCAGCCACAAGCGTGGTGGCGTAGTCAAGGCGGCGGGTAGAGGCAAAGTCAGTAACTGCGGCAGTAAGAGCGGACACGGAGGACACAGAGGCACGAGGGTGAGTAACAAGAGAGGCGAGAACACGAGAGAGAACAGGACGGTACGTGCGGTAGTAGTCAGTGACAGGAGTAGGGAGCGACACAGTGAGGGCCGACTCAGGAGGAGACGGAAGCACAGACTGAGACGGACGAGGTGGACTAGAAAGAAGGAAGGCAGTACGAAGGTCAGTGAAGGGAACAGGAGACGAGGGACGAGCACGAGGGGAGCGACGAGTAGCCCAAGAACGAGACGGAGGAGGAGAGGACAAAGGCGGAGAACTGGGGAAAACAGCGGGGGAGGAGTCAGGAGGAGGAAACGTGGGACCGTAGACAGGAGGAGAGGCGGAGGAGGGAGGAGAAGGGGAGGGGAGACCAAGGGTCCGAAGACCCGAGACAGGAGGAGGAAGTGGCTGCTGCTGCTGCTGCTGCGACTGCTGCTGCTGCGGAAGCGGCTGCTGCTGGGACTGCTGCTCTTGCGGGTCCAGCTGCTGCTGCTCCTGCGGCTCCAGCTGCTGCTGCTGCTCCTCCAGCCGCTGTAACTCCCTCTCCTCTCTCTCCAACGCCAGCTGCTCGTCACGGGCACGGCGAACACGAGCCTGGTGCCTAGTCGGGTAGGGGGGGGGGGCGGAGTAGTGTCCGAAGCAGCGGTAGCTCCAGAGTCCACCCCCGAAGAACCAGGCGCTGTTAACGGGAATGGAGTGTTGGCCCCGCCCTCGCTTGGGCAACGCCGACGACTTGGTCGGATGCACGGGAGTAGCAGCCGACTGTTCACAATGGGATAGCTGCTCGACAGGTTACGTCGAGCGGCAGCAGACCGCTGTGGTGTTGCTGTCGACCAGGATGCTCGACAGCTGCAACTGACTGGCCTGGGCGACGGGTGAGCCGTCCGGGAGGTCGACGAAGCAGTTCGTCGACCTACAGTTCGACGGGGAGGTCTACGGAGCATCCTGTCGAACTGCAGTTCGACCGGGAGGTCGACGGAGCAGTTCTGGTCGACGGAAGGGGTCCGTCGACCAAGGGGTAGCTTGACGGGAGGTGTGGTCGACCAGGAGCATCCGGTGGTCGACCAGAGAGACCCAGTGGTCGACGGGAGGCACCTGGGAGTCGACCAGAGCACCAGGGGTCGACCAGGTCGACTGGGTAACCTGCTCGACGAGTTCTGCGGAGGCACGCGAATGCCGTCGAGATCGCGATGGCGCAGGCGACTTCGGGCTGGTATCCCGAAGTCGATGTGGCTCGTCAGGCGCAGACAACAGCCGACGGATGCCCAACGAGGCAAGTTGGACCAATCGTCTGCGCACACCTGCGAGCGCGCGCACTGCTGTGTTCTACGGGGCACGCCGTCGACCTGCTTTGTTGGCAGGTCGCCCTTCTGCAGTGCTGGCGCGGCTCCTCTACGCAATGCTGGCAGGCGGTCGACCGAGCTGCGCTGGCAGTCGACCAGGCTAGCTGCAGGGTTGCTAGGTGCCTGATGTAGTCATCGTTGTCATTGCTTCTTTGATTTCAATTCTGTAATTCCAACTTTGCTAGTGAAAACTCTTGCCAATTTCTCCTGTGAATGTGCAAGCACGAAGGAACCAAGCAAAGCTGAGATCACCTCTAGTAGTTCGTGCCAACCCTGTAGTCTAGCTCACTGCCGTTGTAGAGTGAATCTCCGCATGGTGTGGTGAGCGTGGATCGAACACGCGACCTTCAGATAGGAGCCGACTTTTGCACCTACTAAGTCGTTCGTAGGCCGGCAGCAACGATAGTCGCCATGGTCGACCCCGTAGTTGATGCGGGTGTAGCTTGTCAAACATTATATATGTTATGCTTGTGTAGGCTACAGTGGGTTAGCCTATAGGGGGTACACAATTCTAGGGTTTCCTACTTGTACTCATTTCACTGCTAGTTCATTCATTCCTGTTCGCTTATTCTCACATGGTATCGAGCAGGTTCCCCTGTGGGAACTGTTCGTAGGGCCC